TATCCTCAGAGCAATGGTTGTATTCAGTGGTTTTAAATAGAGAAATAACATGATCATATTTATATTTCGAATGACTCTCTGGCTTCAATATGGAGAACCGATATGAAAAGGAAAGACTGGAGGTCAAAAGATCTGCTGGGAAGCTAATGCAGTAATCCAGATGGGAAGCTATGGTGGACTGAATCAGGAGGCTGGAGACAAAGCAGAGAGATTCAAGTATTTGAGAGAGACAGAACTAATAGGACTTAATAATGGATTGGATAGCCATCCATTGGTTTGCAATGGATGGCTAAACCATCCTAACTGGTTTCCCTGCAAAAAGAAGAAATTAAGAACGACTCCTAGATTTTTGGTTTGGTCATTATGTGGATGGTGATTATCATTCATCATGATAGAAACAGGAAGAGTAGCCTGTTTTCCTGTGTGTATGTGGGAGGTGGGCAGGGTGGAGGGGTGTTAAGAATAATGCATTTAGAGGTCAGCCCCATGGCTAAGTGGTTAAGTTCGCGCGCTCCACTTTGGCAGCCCAGGGTTTTGCCAATTCGAATCCTGGGCGCGGACATGGCACCACTCATCAAGCCATGCTGAGGCAGCATCCCACATGCCACAACTAGAAGGACCCACAACTAAAAACACACAACCATGTACTGGGGGGCTTATGGGGAGAAAAATAAAAAAATAAAATCTTAAAAAAAAATGAGTTCAGTTTGGGACATGTTGAATTAGTGAATTGGGACAAGTTTGCAAATGGATATATGGCTCTGAAGTGAGAGAGAGAGTGCTCAGTCACTCAGCAAAGATGTACTGAGTGCCTCCTATGTGGCAAAACTATGATCATTGTAGCAGGTACAACAATGAACAAAACAAAGTTGTTCCCTGCCTCTATGGAGCTTAGAGTCTATGGAGCATATAACAAACACCACTAAAAAAATTGCAATTTACCCAAGTATTATTAAGGAAACAAATAGGTTGCTATCAGAGAGAACAAAGGGGGAGACCAAATTTAGATATAGTGGGACAGAGAAGACTCCTCAGAGGTGACATTTAAGCTGAGATCTTTACTGGAGATAATAGGTTTGGAAGTCATCCTTATGTTGATGATAACCGAAGCATGGGAGTGGATGAGATTATCCACGGAGAGTATAAAAAGGAAGGAAAGTATCTAGAATGGAATGCTGAGAAATATAACTTTTTTTTTCTAGGAAGATAAGCCCCGAGCTAACTGCTGCCAATCCTCCTCTTTTTGCTGAGGAAGACTGGCCCTGACCCAACATCCATTTCCATCTTCCTCTACTTTATATGTGGGACGCCTACCACAGCATGGCATGCCAAGCGATGCCATGACTGCACCGGGATCCGAACCAGTGAACCCTGGACTGCTGCAGCGGAACATGTGCACTTAACCACTGCACCACTGGGCTGGCCCCGAAATATAACTATTTAAGAGATGGACAGAAGAGGAACACAAAAAGGGAACAGAAGTTGGTTAGGGTAGCAAAAGAAAGAATATTTTAAGGAGGAGAGAGTGAGCCTCAAATGCTGCTGAGAAATCAAATACAACAAGAACAAAAAAAGCATCCATTGGACTTGATAACAAGGAGGGTGCTGATATCCTTAGCAAGAGAGGTTTCAGTGAGACAGTCTAAAGCTGCAGAGAGCTGAGGAGAGGCTTGGGAAGTGAAGAAGTAGACTGAGTGCAGACACACACCCATGGATGTACGCCAATGCAGTCCTCTTTCTCAAGACCCTACTCACCGTACTCCTGTGAGGGTCACCAACAAGCTGCAGGTTGCCAAATCCAGCTGACCTTCCTGTGCCCTCATCTTCAACTCTCAACAGTGTTTGACCCAGTTGATTATTTCTTCCTTCTTGAACCCTCTTCCTTTCTTGGTTTCTGTGACACCACGCTCTCCTTGTTTTCACCTCTCTCATTACTGCTCTTTGCTAACCTTTCCTCTTCCTCTACCTGATCACTAGATATTGAAGGGACTCTTTCCTGGGTGATCTCTAGTCCCGAGGCTTTAAAACTATCTATATCCTGATGAGTTCCATACTTTTATCTCCGTCCTTGACCTATGTCCTGAGCTCCAGAATGGTAAATGTATCTGCCTTCGTGAATTCTCCTCCCGGATTTCTAATAAGCAACTATAACCTAATATGTCCAAAATGGTATTTTCCCTCAAAATGGTCTTCCCAGTCTTGGTAAAGGATACAATCATCCCACTCAACTGTTCATGATGAAAACCCAGACATCTTCCTTCACTCCTCTCTTTTTCTCATCTTCCACATCCAAATCAACAGCAGTTCTACTAGTTTTTCCTAGAAAACACATCTCAGATTTAACTCTCCCTCTCCATTTCTATTGCCACCACTTTAGCCCAAGCAGTCTTGCTCAGATTTCTCCCATGGCATCCTAACTGGTTTCCCTGATTCTACTCTCAACGACTCTGTGGTCTACTCTCCATTCAGCAGCCAGATTCTCTTTTAAAATTATATATCAGATGATGCCATTTCCTTGCTTAAAATTCTTTAACAGCGTCCCACTGCACTTAGAAGAAAATCTGAATTCTTTACCATGGCCTACAAGTCCCTATATGATCAAGCCTCTCTCTCTGATCTTACCATGAATCATTCCTCCCTCCCTTCCTCCCAGCCTTAATGTGCATTCATTCACTTAAACATTTCTAAGCACCTAATCTGTGCCAGGTACCAGTTAGGCATTGGGCAATGCAAAGATGATACCTGCCTTTGAAAAGCTCACAATTTAGTGAGAGAAACAGACGTATGAACAAATAAATTAAAACACTTTCACGGAGTTAAGTACTTCTGCAGAGTTAAGAGCAAGGTGGGATAGGAGTACAAAGGACAGAGTAAAAATCTATAGGAATCAGGGAAGATTTTACCAAAGAAGGAACAATTATCAGCATGCATTTGAAAGATGGCTAGTTGTGGGTAAGGGTGTAGTCTACGACCTAGGAATAGAAGAAAGCGAAACAGGTCCATATGGGACTCTCCAATCCCCAAAGATACTTAGATAGTTTTACCTAGTGGTGAGTTAAGAATTCAAAATGGGGGCCGGCCCAGTGGCACAGCGGTTAAGTGCACATGTTTCCCTTTGGTGGCCTGGGGTTCACCGGTTCGGATCCCGGGTGTGGACATGGCACCACTTGGCAAGCCATGCTGTGGCAGGCATCCCACATATAAAGTAGAGGAGGATGGGCACGGACGTTAGCTCAGGGCCAGTCTTCCTTAGCAAAAAGAGGAGGATTGGCAGCAGATGGTAGCTCAGGGCTAATCTTCCTCAAAAAAAAAAGAATTCACAATGGGCAGTTTGATCAACTACTGGCCATAAAGTAGTACAGTAGAAAAATGTCTTTTCAGGTCATTACAAAGATTGGGGATGATTAAAACACTAATGGATATTTAGATCAGCATTCCATTCATTCAACAATTTTTTGAGTGTCCGCTACGCATTAAGAACTATCCCAAGAGCTGGGGAGACAACAATAAACAAAACCAACCAAATCTCTGCCTTCATGGAGCTTACATTCCAGTGCAGCATTCAGACAACAAACAAATATATTATGCTAGAGATAAGAGCTATGATGAAAAATAAAGCAGGGTGAGAAGTAGAGAGTGTTGGGGCTACGATTTGAGATATGAGAGTCAATGAAGGTCTGACTGATGAAAGAAAATTTGAGCTGAAGCCTGAATGAGGCAATCCAGGTATTACTTGCATCAGTTATTCAACTTCACAGATTAGGAAAACACATTTTCAGACATTGCTGACTTCACCAAACTAGCCCTTCACTTAGTGATGATTAACTGACCCTTTCCATTTACTTTATCTTGATTATTACACCATGTGTAATTGGTCCCATGATTAGGCAGGTTAAGATTCAGACTGCATATAATTTCTCCACCGATTATTAACTAACCCTGGGTTTAGTTATTAACCAAAGGTCTGCTCTTTCTCTTGTTCATGTGACCTTGTTTACATTTGTCCTTGAATCTCAGCTGGATTTTATCTCCCCATAATGTTAAGTAGTATCTCAAATATGATGGCTCACCCAAGCAGCTAAAAGCAGGATGCAGCCAAAACCTTAATTTCCCTTCCTCTATCTCCAGAGTTAGGATTGAGGAGTGAGACATCAAAGAAAAATTAAATCTACTGTTTTCAGCCAGAAAATGGATATGGATCATCTTTATATTTAGGAAAGGGATACTCTCCTAAGAATGAGAAGTAAGAATAGAAGGAGAACTGTGATAAAATCTCAAGAAACATGCCAAGATAGGAATCACCTGAGGCCATGCAATATAATCTCAGTGGGGAACTGGAGAGTGGAAAGGAAAAACCAAAGTTTTTACAATTTGGGAGCTCTCTCAAATGGTTGTCCTGCCTTCTTTCCGCCTTATTCTACATTCCTATTGCTCCCGACCAAATCAATGGTATGCCAACATATGATGCATCAGGAAAAGACAAATATTTTATAAAATTCAGGTAACTAATTATGAACACTAAATGAAGAATTAAATATATATGCATTACTAAGAAAGGCTATTAAAAAATGAGAATGGGGAACAAGAAACCCCTTCGTGAACTTAGGTCTATAAGTAAAAGGTTGAGCATTAGACCACTAAACCTATTGTTTGCAGGGTCAGGCGTATATATTCAGAGCGATTTTTAGAAGATCCATTACTCTGCAGAGAAAGATGATAAAGCTCCCTAGAACCTTCTCTATTCTTAAAAATTACTTAGCAAAACTAGGAAGTACAAGGCAAGATGTCAGCTACATAGTGGTTTTTACAGCCTATCACAGATTCTGGGTCAGTAAAAAGTTAACTTCAGATTTGTATCATCAGAGAAGAAAGCAAATAGAGCAGCCAATTTCTCTCCATTGTGTGCAAATGCCGTGTAAACAGAATCTTTGATAAAGAAAAATAAGATGCAATCAGACTTTCCTGGAGGATAAGATTTTCCTCACTTTTGTTTCTCATACCTGGGAGATGTGATTAAAATACTGCAAAGCTGTCTCCACAGGGCTTTTGAAATACATCTTCTCCTGAGGTTTCAGCTATGAAGAGAGTAAGACAAACAATGACCATATCCACAAAGGAACGAAATAAAATACTGGCAAATATGGCAAGGGATGTGCCACCCTCTCTAGAGCATCTGGTACTATTTCACTGTGCCAAGTAGGAAGGCGATCACCCTAGGAGATGCAGACTATGTGTCCTAACTCTCCTTACCTTGCGGTCCTGTACCAGCAGCCACAAATAATTCTTCTATCTATTTTTCACCCTTTTCATTCAACTGCTCTCTGCAAGTTTTGTTTGTTCTTTTTCTTTTCTTTCTTTCTTTTTTAAAAATTCAGTGTTTAGTCACTCATCAACTGTACTTCCTGTATACTTCCTACAGGCCAGGAACGGGATAAGATGGTTTGCGGCAGGGAGAGAAAAACTTACGTTATCAGAAAGAGCCAGATGCTTGCAGGCAGTTCCACAAACAGCACATTTTTCTGGGAGGGAAAAGAAAAAAAACATTTGATTCTCATGGGCATGAGGTTAGAGTTTCCTAAAGTACACGGTGATAGTCAAGCAGGCTAGCAAGAGAAGAGGAAAAGAGGGCTTACTGAAATGAGAATATCATTGTGCTATAGAAGGTCATCACTTGAGCTCTGTTCTCTAAATCAGTACTTCCAAACTAGCATGTTGATGACAAGTAAGGCTTTAACACTGTACCCATGTCTCGCTCTCTTTTTTAAAATTCTCAATTTTCTTCTGCAGGTCAGGGACAGTTCTAACTGCCCAGCAGAAGTAGTGGAGTACATTTACAAGAATAGTAGGAAGAGTAAAAGAGTATCCATGATCTCAACTTGAAGTAACTCGTTTTTTATCCTATCTACCTGACCGCAGGTATGCATTAGGTACTACAAGAAACTCCCCAATTATCCCTGCCCTGTTCTCACTTTGCTAATATCTCTGGGATCTTGCTTTGAAGCTCTGCTACTTTCATTCCCTAATTAACCCAATCTGAAAGATGAGAAAATTAAAATTCCTAATCTTTCCTTGTAAATTGAAATTTTAGTAGTGGTGCTCGTTATTAATTAAGATAAAAGCTGTGTCAGGAGAAACATCACATGACATATGCTTCACAGAGACAAACCACTCCAAAGTGAGCTGCTGTTACCATAGTAAATAGCTTTGTTACATTAGCAGATAACTTAAAAGGGTCACGAGATTCATATAGAGAAAAAGACTTCTCCAGAGGCGACCTAACCCTGACTCTTCTCTGCTTGGGGACTAAACGTTTTTCCCACTCTTTCCTCTGTATTATTGCCAGAGTGAGCTAGCAAGTGCAAGTCATTCTTCCATTTAAGAAAAACACCAAAGAAAATTCCACAGCTCTCCATCACCTGCAGGATAAAGTTCAGGTTCTTTAGCCTGGTATATAGAGCCTTCCATCCTCTCTAGCCTCATGTCTCACCATTTCCTACCTTATTCTTTATGCTCTACCAATCCCAACAATGTATAGTGCCCTGCACTATGGTTTTATGATGTGATATGTGTTTATATATGCTGTTCTCTTAAACTAGAATGATCTTCCCTGCCTTGTTCACTTGGCAAACTCTAGTTTATTATTCAACACTCTAGTGAAGCAATACCTCTTCTATGAAATCTTCCCTGATCAAAGCACCCTATCTCAAATCCCTCTTTTGGGCCATTTCCATACCTCGTAAATATTTTAGCATTAAAAAAAAGCAACTTAAATTCAAGTCTCATTTCTAAGACTTAATAGCAGTGAGAACTTGGTCAAATCACTTATCCTATCTGAACCAGTTCCTCATCTATAAAATGAGTCTACTAATAACTACCGCCTGGAATTGTGGTAAGGATTCATAAAATTGTACAAGTGAAAATACTTTTTAAACTGTAATGGTATCACCACCACCACCACCATCATCATCATCATCATTTCTAATCAAATTGATTTCACAGGCTAGACCACTTCCCATTAGAAATGACTCTCGTTATCAACTAAACTTTCCCCTATTCCTGTTCATTATCCTTACTTTCTCTCTTTTCTCTAATCAGTCTGATAACCTTGTGGCTTTCCCTGCGACGGGCTTCAAAACACTAACAAGTACCTTTTGGTGCTCAAGTAATAGATACCATTTGCTCAATCATTCTTTATTAATGGATTCCTCCAGTTTCCATAATCAACAGTTTCCTACTCTATCCACACCACCTTAGGCCTACTAAGTTTTTTTCCCCAAGTTACACAGAAAAATGGTTGATTACTATTTCCCGGTTAAAAACATTTTTGCCTCAATCTAAAAACAGTTAAGTCACTCACCCAGAGTCACACACTTTTTACAGAAAATATGGCCACAGCTGGTGACAAAGAAATGGGCTCCATCTTTTCGGAAACACTGGTTGCAGTGAAACCAATCCATTCTGGAGCAGATAAAGAGAAAGAGTATAATTAACAGCTCTTCAAAAATCTATGTAACAACGTGTGCTTAGCTTTTGTCATCTTTTTCTCTTTTTTTTTAAGATTTGATTTTTTCGTTTTTCTCCCAAAGCCCCCAGATACACAGTTGTGTATTTTTAGTTGTGGGTCCTTCTAGTTGTGGCATGTGGGATGCCGCCTCAGCATGGCTTGATGAGTGGTGCCATGTCCACACACAAGATTCGAACCAGCGAAACCCTGGGCCACCAAAGTGGAGCGTGTGAACTTAACTACTCGGCCACGGGGCTGGCCCCAACTTCTGCCATCTTGAGATGTGAGCATATTATTGTGGGTATTCCAATTAGTTGTAAGGAAACATATACACCTTTGAAGCGACAAAAGCAGACTGCAGACTACGTTATACCATGTTTTAAGAAGAAAGAAAAAAAAAACATATATATATATAGTAAAGTAACAGGACAATGACAAGATTTTTTGAGCCGTGAGATTATGGCTGTGTGTGTATGTGCTGCCTTTACACTTTTCTTGTTTTCCAAGTTTTCCAGATTAATTTATGTATCAGTTAGCTATTAGAAAAACAATCTCAAAAAAGAGAACTATCCATTTCTTTCCTAACAGCTTCCTGTGATCCGGCAAGATGGAGAGAGGAGGAGGTGGCAGACCAGACATAGAAGATCACATATTAGCCACCTGGGACACATTTTATCTACGGGGAAACACGGTTTGTGAATGACAATGTTGTCTCAGCTTGTGCAATTTTCCTTCGACTCCACAGAAACTCAGAATCAGAGAACTGGAAGGGGCCTTGAAAATCATTCAACTTTTTGTTCAATCCCATCATTTTTCAAAAGATATATCTAATGTTCACTGAAAATCAATGACCTGCCCAGAGTTCCATCTTTAGTTAGTGGTAGCTCTGGGATTAGAACCCAAGTCTCCTGATTCCTGTGTAAAGTTTTTGCTACCACATTAGTTAAGCCTTTGTGTCAGGCATGGCAACCATACATCCTATATTTTCTGCCAATACTCATTCCATATAATTTGTTAAATACATAACTATGTAAATATGACTTTCTAAGACTTTGAAATGAAATTGACATATCAAAAATACAGAACTGAGCTGATACATACTGAGCTGTAATTAGTTCATACGTTTAATGAATTCCTGTTTAATTTCACAAATATACTATTTAAGAATATAATATTTATTAGTTTGATCTCTTTTAAAATTAAATTGGGAAAATAAAACAGAAGGTCATTTTATTTCCCCGCCTAAGTCTTCTCTTTAAAAAAAGTTTTTAAGTGGCGTATGGAGCGGTTCGCTAAAAGAATGCTGGCTAGTTTGCACCACATTTCAACACGTTTGTCACATAAGGCAAGATTCACGATAAAAACTTCCTGAACAACCAGTTCAATGCAAACGCATTACACCGTGAGAGCCGCGAGCTTCACATTTCTATTCGTTGCTCACGATACAGCAACTTCCACCAGGAAGTGAGGCTAAAGAACCACTGAAAATGCCCCTCATCTATGCCCTGGTTTGTTTAGGGGCAGCAAATGTTTTATTCAAATGGCCAGGTGAGCCCCTCACAAGAAGGGCAGTGGTGAGGGCGAGATTCGCCTGGTTTCTAGGGGAGAGGGGGAACTTAGAGTCTCAAATTACCAATACTTTTCTAGCTACCTTCCCTACCCGCTTGGCCGCCGTGATCCCAGAGGGTCCCGGATCTCATCGAAATCATCCACTTCTCCTCACGACAAGCTGGAAATGGCGGGAAAATACACCGCGCGCCCGGCCCCAGGGAGAGACAAGAGGCTGGGCGTGGCCGCGACGGCGCGTGAGAGGCGTGGGCGGGGCCTAGAGGTGTGCTGAGCGCATGCGCGGGGCCCGGACGCCCCGGCGTGCGCCAGGCGTGGGCGGGGCCCGCGGCCACGTGCTGGGGGAAAGGGTGGGGCTCCAAGCGGGAGAGGTAAGGGTGGTTCTACTTAATAGTCCCGGAAAATGTAATATCTTGTTTAAAATTGGGAACACTTAAGGAATGTAATCTAATCCCATACCTGTTACTGTGGAAACAGCACAGTGAAAATAAACCTAAAAAAGTAAGTTCCAGTAGACAGTAACACACTAGAAAAATGTGGTAAAGCAAATGAAAACTTCAACCTAATATTTTTTAATGAAATAAAGAAAGTAGTAGATGCTTTGAAAGAACAGCAGAAATCAGAAATAGAAAAGCTAAAAAGTGATATGGATAGAGAACAGGAGGATATTCAATGAAAACTAACAAATCTCACAAAAAAAGTTTTTAACTTTTTTCAGAAATAAATGAGAAAAAAGGCACAATTAAGAGCTGAAAGGAGAATGATTTTTCTAAAAAGAAAGATAAAAGCTTTTGAAAGAAATCTTGGGGCTGGCCCCAAGATTGGTTTTTAAAGATAAGGGGAAACCCCTTTGAGCATCCAGACAAAAAGTACTAGCCACTTTTAGGGAAGAGAAAATTAGATTGGCATCAGACTTCTCTACAGCAGCATTTTATGCTAGAACCAATACAGCGTTTTCAAATTTTTCAAAGAAAAAATATGATCCAAGAACTTTATATCCCTTTATATTGTCTTCAGGTATATATGCTGCTGACAAAAAATGTGAACATGAGGAACCCATTAAGCAGTGGTTCTCAAACTTTTTGGTCTGAAAACTCCTTTACATTCTAAAAATTATTGAAGACCCCCTCCCCAAAGAGCTTTTGTTTATGTGGGTTGTATGTATCAATATTTGCCATATTAGTAATTAAAACAGTAATTTTAGGGGCGGGCCCCATGGCCAAGTGGTTAAGTTCACCAGCTCCACTTCTGGGCACAGGGTTTCACTGGTTCGGATCCTAGGTGCCGACATGGCACTGCTCATCAGGCCACGCTGAGGCAGCGTCCCACATGCCACGACTAGAAGGATCCACAACTAAAATATGTAAGTATGTGCTGGGGGCATTTGGGGAGAAAAAGCAAAAAACAAAACTGAGAAATTTTAAAATATTTATTCATTTGAAAACAATAATAAATCCATTAAATATTAACATGACATGAAAAATAACTATAGTGTCCAAAATAAAAACAATTTAGTGAAAAGAGTGGCAGTTGCTTTACAGTTTCAAAATCTCTTACTATCTGACTTAATGGAAAGCAGCTGGGTTCACATGTCTGCTTCTACATTCACTCTGTTGCAATATGCTGTTTTGGCTGAAGTATGTGAAGATCTGGACTCACCCAAATATATACTTGGAAAAGTGAGTAGATTTTAATAGCCTATTTGGATAATTTGAACATTTTTCTTTGATACTATACCAAAATTAAAGAAGTAGGAGTTTGGGGCTGGCCCCATGGCCAAGTGGTTAAATTTGCACTCTTCACTTCCTCAGCCCAGGGTTTCACCAGTTCAGATCCTGGGCGCAGACATGGCACTGCTCATCAAGCCATGCTGAGGCAGCATCCCACATAGCACAACCAGAAGGACCTACAACTAGAATATACAACTATGTGCTGGGGGACTTTGGGGAGAAGAAGAAGAAGAAAAGAAAGAAGATTGGCAACAGATGTCAGCTCAGATGCCAAAAAAAGGTTTTTTTAATAAAAAATAAAAGAAGTAGGAGTTTGTTAAAAGCTAGTTGCAATGTAGGATCTGACATCATATCAACGAATATGTAACATCTTACATTGAGACCAAACTGGTCATTTGGGAAATATTGATGCACTGAGTTATGCACATTGACACATTTCATTATACAATATTAAATATTGACACACTTCATTATATAATATTTAAAAGTCACTTTTGTTAATATTGCTACCTATTGCATCAGAAAAGTCTTTGAGTATTGGGAAGCTCTGAAGCTCACAGTTGCAGATATGTTTTCCAAAATTCTTATTTTCCTCTGAAAGCTTGAATTTTATCGTTGGCAACAAATACTGTCACTAGTTTTCCTTGAATTGATGAGCTCATTTTGGTTTTTTTTGAGAAAATGTCTATCGGATACTCAAGTCTGAATAACTATAGTTTGTTAGTTGTTCTTTTTTCCTGCTTTTTCTCCCCAAATCCCCCCAGTACATAGTTGTATATTTTAGTTGTGGCTCCTTCTAGGTGTGGCATGTGGGACGCCGCCTCACTGTGGCCTAATGAGTGGTGCCATGTCTGTGCCCAGGATCCCAACTGGCAAAAACCTGAGCCGCTGAAGCAGAGCTCACGAACTTAACCACTTGGCCGTGGGGCTTGCCCCGTGTTAGTTGTAATTTTAAGTAAAAATGGTGTTCCATAAAAAAATGATTAGTTCACTTCATAACTCAAACCATCACATAAAAGACTTTCCTAAATATAATCTTAATTCTATTTAAATATTCTGGGTCATAGAAAAAGGAAAAAACTTTCAAAAAATTTTTATGAAATTAACATTGATAGCAAAGAGTGATAAAGATTGCACACACACATAAAAGAAAACTATAGGACAGTTTCACTTGTGAATATTGATGCAAAAATCTTAAATAAGATATTAGCAAATAGAATCCAATAACACATTGAAAAAAGTATACATTACATAAGGGCCCGTCTGGTGGCATAGTGGTTAAGTTGGCACACTCTGCTTTGGCAGCCCGGGGTTCACAGGTTTGGATCCCAGGCATGGACCTAGCATGGATCATCAAGCCACACTGTGGCGGCATCCCACATAAAATAAAGGAAGATCGGCAACTGATGTTAGCTCAAGGCCAATCTTCCTCACAAAAAATAAATAAATAAATAGAATACAAATTTTTTTAAAGTATACATTATGTATAACCAAGTGATGTTCATTACAGGAATGAAAGGATGGTTCAGTATTAGGAAAACCATTAATGTAATTTATTATAGTAATATTTCTAAGAAGAAATATTATACAATCACCTCCACAGTTGCCAATAAAGCATTTGTCATAATTCACATCCATTTCTGATTTAAAATTTCAGTGAAGTAAGAATCAATGGATATTTCCTTAACATAATTAAAGTGCTATGTGCATATGTGTTTGCAAAGCTAGCATGTTTTTTAACAAGGAAACACTAGAGGCATTCTTGCTAGTTAAGAATGAGACAAGAATACCGCTACCATTCAACATGGTATTGAACATTACTTTAAAAGGATAAGATAGAGGCCGCCCAGTGGTGTAGAAGTTAAGTTCACAGGCTCCGCTTTGGCAGCCTGGGGTCTGCAGGTTCAGATCCTGGGTGCAGAGCTAGCACCACTCCTCAAGCCATGCTGTGGCAGCATCCCACATAAAAAAGAAAAAAAAATGGAGGAAGCTTGGCACAGATGTTAACTGAGCGACAGTCTTCCTCAAGCAAAAAGGGGAAGATTGGCAACAGATGTTAGCACAAAGTCAATCTTGCTCACACACACAAAAAAAGATAAGATGAAAAAACCTTTTTTGGGGGCTGGCCCCGTGGCCGAGTGGTTAAGTTCACGCGCTCCGCTGCAGGCAGCCCAGTGTTTCGTTGGTTCGAATCCTGGGCGTGGACATGGCACTGCTCATCAAGCCACAGTGAGGCGGCATCCCACATGCCACAACTAGAAGGACCCACAACGAAGAATATACAACTATGTACCGGGGGGCTTTGGGGAGAAAAAGGAAAAAATGAAAAAATCTTTAAAAAAAACCCACAAAAACCTTTTTTGGCAGATTGTATTATTGTATAGCTGAAAAATCCAGGAGAATCAATGGGAAAACTTCTATAAGTAATTTAAAAATTTAGTAAAGTAACAGGCTGTAAAATTAATGAAGAGAAATACAATTCCATATTTAAATAATAACCACTTAGAAGATATAATGGGAGAAAAGACTCTAATTAAAGTGCTAAGGCAGTAATTTAACAGAAATATGCAAATAGATATGAAGAAAGCTTCAAAACATTACTGAAAGAGACAAGAGTCAACACAAACAAATGGAAAAGCAAGTCTTGTGTTTGGTTAGGAAGAGTCAATATCCTAATGGTGTCAATTCTCCCTAAGTTAATTTATAAGTTTAACATGATCCCAATAAAAAACACCAACCAGTTGTCTTTCTGGAATTAAACAAATTGATTATAAAGGTCGTATGGAAAACTACCAAACAAACAAACAACAATATCCAGGAAAACCCTGAAAATGTTTAGTGTCATGTGGGGTGGGAAGCTAGCCACACCCAATATTAAGACATATTATAAAGCCTCTATAATTTAAGAAGCGTGATATTGGTGCATAGATAAACATACAGACTAATAAAATAGAAAGTCCAGAAATAGAAGCATGTACATTTGGAAAATTTAATTTATGATAAAGGTGGGGAATTCAATGAGGGGGAGGAGTTGAATTTTTTTAATAAATAAAGTTGGAACGACTGGATAGCCATTTGGAAAAATACCAGATTGGGTCTGTATCTCACTTTTCACCTGGGTAAATTTCAAATGGGTCAGAAATCTAAAGATAAAAAGTGAAACATACAAGCACTAGAAGAAGACATGGGAGAATACTTACAACCTAGGAGTGGGGGAAATATTTCTATGATCCAAAAATCTAGAAGCAATAAAAGAAAAGATTGATAAATTTCACTACATAAAAATAGAAGAAGACCTTTTTTTGGCCAAACTCTCTCTCTCTCTCTCTCTCTCTCTCTCACACACACACACACACACACAAACACAAAACCTACCACAGACCAAGTCAAAAACTAAGTGACAGATTGGGAAATACTATCTTCCACTTAAATCACAAAGGGCTAATAGCTTTAATATATAAAGAACTTTTTTAAAAAGAAAGCTAATGACTTACACATTTGAGCAAAAGTCATAAACAGCTCACAAAAAACATAAAAATGGCCCTTGAACATATTAACGATATTTAACCTCACTTTTAATGAGATATGCAAATGAAAACGCCATCAAAGTACCACTTTCCGTCTATCAGATTTCCAGAAATCCAGATATTTCATAAAATACTCTTGGCAAGGTTATGGGGAAACAGGGACACTCATATATTGTTGATGAGAATGCCAAATGGTATGACTGCTCTGCAGTGCATATGGCTCTATCTTGGAAAATTACCTATGTATTTATCCTTTAATCCAGCAATCCCATTTCTAGGACTCTGTCCCAGAGATACACTGCCAAAAGTATGAGATCAATTATGAACAAGGTTGTTCTTTGCTGTACTATTTATAATAGCAAAAGATTGCTGACAACCTAAGTATTTATTTATCAGTGACAAATCATAGTTGAATATTATGCAGACATAAAAAGAAATTAGAAAGATCTTTATACACTAATTTGAAGCAATTTCCAGAATTTATTGTCAAGTAGAAAGAAAAGAGGTACAAGATTACATAATATACAATTCTTTGTTTAAGAAAGGGGAGCTAGCAAGATATATCAAAAAGAAACACTAGAAGATTAAACAAAAATTACTAAAAAAAAGTTACCTACAGAGGTAGGAAAGTAACATTGTCGAGGTGACAATATAGAAGGAAGACTTGCCTGAATTTAACTTGATATATATATTGTCTTTGGAAATATAATTGTTTTACATATTCAAGAATAGAATTAAAAAGCAATTCCTAAAAATTGGAGGGGAGGAGACTAAAACAAATGAATTTAACTGTACATCAGATTGGTGACTTTAAACAAGTTTATTGAGCTAGATTGGCATACAATCAACTATATATATTTAAAATGTACAATTTGATAAGTTTTGACATATATATACACCCTTTAAACTATCACTACAATAAAGATAGTGAAGCTATCCATCATCCCGAAAATTTCCTCTGCTCCTTTGTAAACCATCTCTCCTAACCATCTCCACACTTCTCTCCCCAGGTAACCCAGGTACTTTCTATCAATACAGATCAGTTTGCATTTTCTAAAGTTTTATATACATAGAATCATATATACTCTTTTTTGTCTGGCTTCCTTCATTCAGAATAACGATTTTGAGATCCATGCATGTTGTTGTATGTGTCAATAGTTCTTTCATTTTTGTTGCTGAGTAGTATTTCGTTTTTATCCCTTATCCATTGATGGACATTTGAGTTATTTCTAGTTGGAGGCTATTACAAATAAAGCTGCTATAAATGTTCATGTACAAGTCTTTGTTTAGACATATGCCTTCTTTCCTCATGGGTAAATACCTAGAAGCTGAATGGCTAGATCATATAGTAGGTATGGTAAGTACATATTTAACCTTTGAAGAAACTGCCAAACTTTTCCAACGTGGTTGCACCATTTTACATTCCCTCCAGCAATGTATGAGAGTTCCAGGTTCTCCACATTATTTCTAGCACTTAGTATGTTTATTCCGTTAATTTTAATGATTCTCATAGGTGTATAGTAGTATCCCATTGTGGTTTTGTATTTCCCTAATGACGAATGATGGGGAACATCTTTTCATATGCTTATTTGCCATCTGTATATGTATTTTTGGTGAAGTATCTGTTCAAATCCTTTGCCCATTTTTAACTGGGTTGTTTATTTTCTTATTATTGATTTTGAGAGTTCTTCATATATCCTGAAGAAACTCCTTTATCAAATACATCCTCAGTCTGTGGCTTGTCTTGTCAGTCTCTCTCTCTCTCTCTCTCTTTTTTTCTGCTGAGGAAGACTAGCCCTGAACTAACATCTGTGCCAGTCTTCCTCTATTTTCTATGTGGGTCACCACCACAGCACGCTGACGAGTGGTGTAGGTCCATGCCTGGGATCCAAACGTGCAAACCCAGGCCACTGAAGCAGAGCACACCAAACTTAACCACTACACACAGGACCGGCCCCAACTCTTTTTAGTCTCTTACTAGTGGTTTTTGAAGAGCAGAAGATTTTACTTTTGATGAAGTCCAATTTATCAATTTGTTCTTACATGGAGAATTTTTTGGTGTCATATCTATGAAATCTTTGCCTAATCCAGGGTCACAAAGATTTTCTCCCTTATTTTCTTCTAGAAATTTCAAAAATCTAGACTTATAGTTTTGGATTTACATTTAGGAATGATTCATTTTGAGTTAATTTTCCTATATGGTATGAGGTGTGGATTAAAGTTCTCTTGTGTATATGTGTGTGTTGTTTAGTTTTGGGGTTTTTTTTTCTTCTTATGGATATCCAATGTTTTCAGCATCATTCATTGAAAAGAATGACTAAATTGCCTTTGTCAAAAATCAGTTGTCCAGGGGCCGGCTCGGTGGCGATTAAGTTCACATGTGCCAGTTCGGATCCCGGGTGCAGACATGGCACTGCTTGGCAAGCCATGCTGTGGTAGGTGTCCCACATATAAAGTAGAGGAAGATGCGCCTGTCTTCCTCAGCAGAAGGAGGAGGATTGGCGGTGGACGTTGACTCAGGGCTAATCTTCCTAAAAAAAAAAAAAATCAGTTGTCCTTAATAAAACAATTCCATTTATAATAGCATCAAAAAGAATAAAATACTTAGGACTAATTTAACCAAGGAGGTGACTTGTACATGGAAAACTACTTAATATTGTTGACAATACTACCCAAAGTGATATACAGATTCAGTGCAATCCCTATCAAAATCCCAAAGGTGTTATTTACAGAAATTGAAAAACTTATCCTAAAGCTCATGTAGAATTTCAGAGGACCCAGAATAGCCAAAACAATCTTGAAAAAGGAGAATAAAATGGAAAGACTCACATTTCCCAATTTAAAAACTTACTACAAAGCTACCATAGTCAAAACAGTGTGGTTCTGGAATAAGGATAGAAATATAGACCAATGGATTAGAACTGAGAATCCAGACGTAAACTCTCACATCTATGATCAACTGATTTTCAACAAAGATGCCAACCAAGGCCATTCAGTGGGGGAAATAATAGTCTCTTCAATACATAGGATATCCATATGAAAAAAGAAAAAAAAGTTGGACCTTTACCTTATACTATATACAAAAATTAACTAAAAATGGATTAAAGGCCTGAACATAAGAGCAAAAACATAAAACTCTTAGAAAAAATATAGGTGCAAATCTTCATGACCTTGGAGTTGGCAATGGTTTCTAATTATGACAAAAGTACAGGCAACAAAAGAAAAAAAGGATAACTGAACTTCATTAAAATTAAAAACTTTTGTGCATCAAAGGACACTATCAAGAGACCAAAAAGGTAATCTACAGAATAGGAGAAATTATTTGCAAATCATATATCTGATAAGGGTTTAATATCCAGAATGTATAAAGAACTCGTACAACTCAACACAAAAAGGCAAATAACTCAGTTAAAAAATGAGCAAAGAACTTGAATAGAAATTTCTACAAAGAAGATATACAGATGGCCAACAGACACATGAAAAGATGCTCAATATCATTATTCATTAGGGAAATGCAAATCAAAACCACAATGAGATACTATTTCATACCTATTAGGGTGGCTATAATTTTTTTAAAAGGAAAACAACAAGTTGGGGAGAATGTGGAGAAACTGAAACCCTCGTATATTGCTGGTGGGAATGCACAATGGCGCCTTTGCTGGAAAACAGTTTGGCAGTTCCTCAAAAAGTTAAACATACAACTACCCTACCATATGACTCAGCAACTCCACTTCTACATATACACCCAAAAGTAATGAAAACAGGAACTCAAACAGGTCAATGTTCACAATATTGATGCAGCATTATTCACAATAGCCAAAAGGTGGAAATAACCTAAGTGTCCATCAACAGAGAAATAATGTGGTATACACATACAATGGAATATTATTTGGTCATAAAAAAGAATGAAGTTCTGATACATGCTACAACATGAATGAACTTTGGAAACATTATGCTAAGTGAAATAAGCCAATCACAAAAGGACAAATGTACGATTCCACTTATATGAAATACCTAGAATGGTCAAATTCGTAGAGAAGAAAGTAGATTAGAGGTTAGCAGGGACAGTGAGAAGGAAAGAATGGGAAGTCATTGCTTAATGGGCACAGAGTTTCTGTCTGAGGTGATGAAAAACTTTGGAACTAGAGGTGATGATTGCACAGCATTGTGCTACCACAATTTTAAGAAGAATACCACAAAGGTGAAGTGCCTTCTCATTACGTAACATCAGGGGGTACCTGATATCCACATGACAAATTGGTGATGTTAATCTCGATCACCTGGTTACGGTCGTGTTTGCCAGGTGTCTCCAGTTTAAAGTTCAATATTTTCCCTTTCTACATTCTTTGGAAGCAAGACTACAAGTCCAGCCCACCCTCAAAGTCGGGGAGAAGTGGTTAAGCACCACCCCCTGCAAGAAAGAGTATCTCATGACATTAGCTTGTACATTCCAGAACAATCTGGAATTGTTCTGTAAAGAAGATTTGTTTCTACTCCACCACTCAGTTATGTATTCGATCACTTATTTATATCAGTATAGATTCATGTATACTTTGGATTATAATCTAATACTATGCTATTTATTTTGTTGCTCAAATTATTCCATTTGGCTATTGGGGAGCTCTTTCAGGATGATTCCTCCATCCCTTTGAAATTTTTTTTTTTTTTAATGATAATTTTTTTTTTTTTAAAGATTTTATTTTTTCCTTTTTCTCCCCAAAGCCCCCCGGTACATAGTTGTATATTCTTTGTTGTGGGTTCTTCTAGTTGTGGCATGTGGGACGCTGCCTCAGCGTGGTTCGACGAGCAGTGTCATGTCCGCGCCCAGGATTCGAACCAACGAAACACTGGGCCGCCTGCAGCGGAGCGCGCGAACTTAACCGCTCGGCCACGGGGCCAGCCCCATCCCCCTGAAATTTTAAACACTTCTTTCATTTTTGGTATTACAAGGTGCTCCAGACTTATTTTGTATTTTTCTTGCCCCAGTTCTAAAATCAGACATTTCTCCAAGGATCCTTGGTTGCTTTTATTGAAGAATGGTATTTTGAAACCAAAATCTGGGCACAAGGTGTGCTCATTGCTACGGTGATTTCGTTGCTTCTAGATCCTCTGAGTGGACAGTACTAGGTAATATATGTATGGGTACTAATTCATGTAAACACACATATCTCTCATTGTTTGTATCTCTTTATCTGCATGTATGTTAAGCTAAACCTGAGTTCATGCTGATGTCTCTGATCCTAATCCAGTACAGTGTTCATTCTAGGCTTCCCTTCTTGCTTTCTTCCCTTCTTACTTCTCTTTGACAGTGAGAACCCTGACTCCCAACATCAGTTATACATGTACTTATTTGATCAACCCCAGTATATATGTAAATATGTAATGTATATATGTAAAACAGTTTCAGAACTGTTAACCTATATCCCATGAGAAATAAATTCAGCTGGAGTACAGTGTCTATATACAGTATGTGGTCCTTTTTTGACACCTGAAGAAATTTTGTTATGGGTTGGATATATTAGTTGATACCAAAGAATTATTGTTAATTTTGTTAGGTGTGATAATTGCCTTGTGGTTATGTAAGAAAATGTCCATATTTTTAAGAGATGCTTACTGAGATTTATAGGGATGGAATGATGTCTGGAATCTTAAAATACTTCAGCAAAGAAGATAAAAGAAATACAGGGAGTGGGAAAGGATAGATAAAGCAATGTGGCAAAATCTTGATAATGGTAGACTCTGGGTAATGATCTAGGATATGAGAGTTCACTGTACTCTTCTCTCTACTTCTGAGTATGCTTGCAATTCCTCATTGTACAAAATATTTTATTATTTTAAATTATATTTATTTTAGATAGGCAAATCATTTACTTAGTGAAAATTCAAAAGCTATCAAAGGACATATAATGAAAAATTAGTCTTCCTTTTTCCACTGTTCCCAGCCACCAAATTCTCATTTCCAAAGGCCACCGATAGTGCTAATTCTTGTGTATCTTTCCAAAGATCATTATATATTCATAAATAAATGCATATATTTATATATATTCCATTTTCCCCCTACACAAATGGTAGCATACTTTATATTGTTTTATACCTTTTTAAAAAACATTTAACTTTATAATTTCAGACCTACAGAAAAGTGCAAATATAGAAGAATTCCTGTTTACTTTAATCCAGATTCCCCAAATGTTAACATTTTACCCTATTTGCTTTGTTATTCTCTCTATTGTTACTGTTTTCTGTTCCATTTGAGAATAAGTTGCAGACATAATGCCCCATTACTCCTAAATATTTCAGCGTGTATTTCTCATAAACAAGGATATTCTCTTCCACAAACACAGTACAATTATCAAAATCAAGAAATTAACATTGATATGGTGCTATTATCTAATCTAGAAACCTTATTCAAATTTCTCCAATTGTGCCACAATGTCCTTTATAGAAAGAGAAAAAAAGTTTTTTCTATCCAGGATCACATTTAGTTGTCCATTAAAAAAAGTGAAAACGTGAGGAGGCCAGTCTGGTGGCGCAGTGGTTAAATGCACACACTCCACTTTGGTGGCCCAGGGTTCACCAGTTCGGATCCTGGGTGCGGACATGGCACCGCTTGGCACACCATATTGATGGATGCATAGAGTGTTTCTAATTTTTAACTATTGCAAAAACATGCTGTAATAAACATCTTTATTCAATTATCTTTGCACACCCATGCAATTCTTTCTAAAAGCAATTTTATAGACATATAAGTGTTCCTCGAGTATACACATTTTATAAATATATCTTGAATCCGTCGTCTTTCCCTTTACCACCTTTGCTTTCTTTTAGTCCCTCTTTTGTCCTTGCTTTGATCACTCTGACTGCCTCCTAACTGCTCCCTGCCTCTGTATTTGCCCATCTCCACTTCGTCCTACTGCGGCTGCCAGGTCCAATCACAGCTCTGCTTAAACCTGCCTGACACTTTCAAGACAACTTACAGAGCATGGCACTCAAGCTCTTCGTGATCTACATTTCTTTTTGCACCTCTCAACATTTGGTCAAAAGCACAGTGCACTTCAGTCACATCAAATTTAAATCACGCTCTCTCTGTGTGACTTTGTGCAAACTGTTTCCTTTGCCTGGCATATCCTCCTGATTAACTTCTATTCATCCTTCCAGACTCAGCTCAGAAGTCACTTTCTCCAGTGGCCTACTCTGGCATGCCCACTGAGGGGCGCTCCCCGAGCATCCTTTGCCTGACTCTACCATGGCCCTTGTCTCACGGTGTTATAATTGTTCACTCCTCTCTCTCTCTAACCAGACTGGGACTACAGCTTCGCTTTGGGATTACCAGTCCTTCCGTGGTGTCTGCTGTGTAGTAAGGATTCAGTGACTATTTGATAAATGATGGAAAAGGAAAGGAAATGATCAGGGAGAATCTTACCTGGCTTCCAGATCCATGGTAGTACACTCAAACAGGAAACACATCTCAGTGGGAAAAGAGAAATTTAGGGATGAAGTGAAGATGACTGGTGGTTATATAAAGTTGCTACTGTTGGGTACTATAGGAGAAGGATCCATCTGGCAATTAAATCATTCATTCAACAGGGCTTTCCTGAACAAATGCCACAGACCAAGCACTGTTCTAGACACTGAGAATATAGGAAGGAAGAAAAGAAAATAAAAGTCTTGGCTCTTGTGAAGTTTGGGGTTCTTTTGTTTTGTTTTGTTTTGTTTTAAGATTGTTAGGGCCGGCCTGGTGGCTCAGCGGTTAAGTGCACACATTCTGCTTCAATGGCCTACGGATCGCCAGTTCGGATCCTGGGTGTGGACATGGCACCACTTGGCAAGCCATGCTGTGCTAGGCGTCCTACATATAAAGTAGAGGAAGAAGGGCATGGATGTTTGCTCAGGGCCAGTCTTCCTCAGCATAAAGAGGATTGATAGCAGATGTTAGCTCAAGGCTAATCTTCCTAAAAAGAAAAAAAGATTTTTATTTTTCCTTTTTGTCCCCAAAGTCCCCTGGTACATAGTTGTTTTTCATTTTTAGTTGTGGGTCCTTCTACTTGTGGCACGTGGGATGCCACCTCAGCATGGATTCATGAGCAGTGCCATGTCTGCACCCAGGATCCAAACTGGTGGAACCCTGGGCCGTCAAAGCAAAGCCGGCCCCTCCCCTGGGGTTCTAGAGGGACAATTTTATCTAAGATCCTACTGAATCCCAGGCGCAGAGCGAGGTAGGGATAGGGATGGGGTGCAAAAACATAAGAAATTTCATCTGTCCCTTCAAAAAGGCTATGACTTGGGGCTGGGCAGTGGCATAGTGCTTAAGTTCACATGCTCTGCTTCAGCAGTCCAGGGTTCACAGGTTTGGATCCTGAGGGTGAACCTAGTACCACTCAACAAGCCATGCTGTGGCGGCGTCCCACATATAAAAAATAGAGGAAGATTGGCACATGTGTTAACTCAGGGACAATCTTCCTCACCAAAAAAAGAAGACTGACCTCATAGGGAATGCAAATGTACATAGAGTTACACACACTACAAAGCAGAATATGTGATCCTTGCAGAAACATAAATTCACCAAGTCAACAAATATTATTGAGCTTCCATATTATGTACCAACTGTACATGGTAACACATATGGTCCTTGCCTTCAAGGCACTTACAGTACAGTAGGAGAAAAAGATATTCTTTTAAAAATCTCACAAATAAATATACAACCATTAAGTACTGTTATAAAAGATGAAACACCAGGAATGATGAGAGCATGCAATTTGGGAAGGCTTCCCTGAGGAAGTATGGAATGCTATGAGAACACAGAGAAAAGAGAAATCAGGTTGATCTGGGCAGGTTTCCTGGAGGAACAGGTATTTCGATGAGCCTTAAACAAAGTGAAAGTTTTATCCTGCAGAGGTCGAGGGGAGGGGCAGTCCAGGCAGAGAAAAAGCACCAGTAAAGTCACCAATCTGGGAAAGTACAGCACGGTCCAGTGTGACTGAAGAGAAGAATGAAGGGGGCATCAAAAGGGATGGTGAGGAAAAGAAGATGTTATGGGAAAAAAAGCTGGAGAGATGGATTGAAGCCTCTGTACAGGAGTTTAGACTTTATTTTCTAAGCTAGTGGTTCCCCCAAGCAATAGGTAGATAGACTGAATTAGAATCTGAGAGGGAATTTTGTGGGTAAAATGAAGACCAGCCATTGCACGAAGTTGCCACCAGAGGGCACCATAGGAGAAGGTCTGCCTGAGAAATTATTGAGCACTTCCCCTGTGGCAAGGATATATGTTAAAAGTTCCTGGGGTGATTGTGGTGCTCACTCAGCCAGCCTTATGGACTGCTTCGTTATACAATGGAGAACCATCAGAGGCTTCTGAGCAGGATAGAAATATGACCAACCCATATTTTATAAAACATAACCCTGGGAACAGAATGAAGGGATGGAAGGTCACAGACAGGGAGATTAGTTGGTAGGCTATTGTGATGGGACAGGAGAGAGATGAGTAGTTCTGAAATAGGGCAGGAACTATGGGACAGGAAGAAGAAGACAGCTGTGAGGCGATTTTTGGAGACAGAACCAACAGGATTTGGTGACCAGCTGGATATGGGGCTACAAAGGGAGAGAGAGGGAGGGAAAGATGAAGGCCTCAGGCCTGGGTGATGAAGAGTGTGATGCCAGCCATGGGTGGAAATTGGGAACACGGGAGAAAGAACAGCTTTGTCTGAGGAACAGACAGGAGTTTGGTTTTGAACCCAGTGATGGGTATGACCTAATGGGACTAACACCGGGGCTCAGAGCTGGGTCCTGTATTCTCACTCTAAGCACCCTTTCTGAGTATATGAATTGTAATTTGTTGAAAGTTTTCTTCTGCTCCTTGCATCTTCTATGTTTTTATTGTCTATGGCTTTCATGCTGGAGCTTTCCTCAAATGTTCAGTGATCCTCTGTTGAGGAGACAAGGTAACTAAGCTGTCCCTGGACTTTAGGAAGAAAGAGAAAGATCTAAAGTATCTGCATCTAAGGTCCCTGTATTAGTCAGGGTTCTGCTGAGAAATAGAACAAGCAGGAGATGACAGATTGATGGACGACAGATAGATAGGGATATATACATCCAGAGAGAGAAAGAGAGATTTATTATGGCAAATTGGCTCACGTGATTATGGAGGCTGAGAAGTCCCACCATCACCCGTCTGCAAGCTGGAGACCCAGGCAAACTGATGCTGTAACTCAGTCTGAGTCCAAAGCCCTGAGAACCAGGGAAGTCACTGGTTTAAATCCCAATCCGAGGGTTGGAGAAGATGAGATGAGATGTCCCAACTCAAACAGGAAGATAGGAAGCAAAGAGGGGCCAGCTCCTCCTTCCTCTGCCTTTTGTCCTATTCAAGCCCTCAACTGATTGGATGAGGCCCATTCACATCGGGGAGAATAATTGACTTTATGAAGTCTACATATTCAAATGCTAACCTCATCTGGAAACGCCCTCACAGACACACCCAGAAATAATGTTTAATCTGGGGCACCCTGTGGCCAGTCAGGCTGACACATAAAATTAATCACCGTGGTCCTTGAGGTCCTTGAAGGCAGGTGATCTTTGTTCACCATTATATCCCCAGGATCCAGCACAATAAACAGTTGATCATTATTGGCGGAATACGTGAATAAATTAATTGCGCACACTCATGTCTATGTAATCCAATTCCTATTTGAATTTCTTTCTCAACTAGTCTGATAAATTGTGTAGTATTGAAAATTTCCTAAAAGACCACATTCTCTCACTATAGATTTTACGTCAGTGATCTCCACACCATAGCCTGGCAAAAGTTTCAGGTGATTGGGTCTGTAAATTTTCACCTAACTAGACTTTCGTAATTCCTTCCCAACTTTGCTACACATTTCTTGAGATCACAGTTAATTATCATGATTTGGTAAGAAAGTAAAAAGAAATAAAACTATATTTTAAAAATTTTTCTCGAAATATATAACAATGGACACCTAAAATTTACGTAATGATATAAACCACTGTTACTACAATAAAAAAAAAAAGACTAAAAAATTAAAAAAAGTTTCTTAAGAAGAACAATTAAAAGCATAGCTATCACCAAGATATTTAGCCATTTACTAAAGTAGGGAATACCAGAGGAAGAGCATATTGGGTGGGGCATGCACACTCTGGACTTACTAAGTTTGAGCTGCCTATTAAACAGAGACATCAAATAGACAGAGAGCTAACTCTAGAGTTTATGAAAGCGATGAGGGCTGCATCTATAAATTTGGGAAATATTCATGTATAGACACTACTGAAAGTCTGAGGACTAGATGAGGTCACCCAGGTAGTGAGGGAGGATTGAGAAGAGGAGAGGTTGGGAAGAGAAAAGGATCCAGCGGAGGAGACTGAGAAGTGGCCAGTGAGTTAGAGGAAAGCCAGGAGAGTGGATGCCCAGGAGCCATGCTGCCGTGAGATCAATAAGATGAAGACTGAGAAATTACCGATAGACTGGACCACGTGGTGGCTACTGGTGATCTCGACAAGAATGGATTCGACAAAATGACAGGGATGAAAGCTTAGGTGCAGTGGATTCAAGCATGAATGGAGGTGAAGGAGTGAAAAGGGGAGCAGAGAAGTTGGGTGGCAGCTGAAAAGGAACATGGAGTCAAGGAAACTTCTATTAGATTTGGGTTTTTTTAAGGGGCGCTATTACAGCACATTCGTATGCTGATATAATCTAGTAGAGAGTGAAAAATTGATGATGCAGGAGAGAGAGGAACAATTGCAGGAGCAAGTCCCTGGGTAGGTGAGATAGCACAGGGAAGCTAGTGCACGAGTCAGGGAGATACATAGGAGCATGGATGGCACATGAGTTTCTGTGGGAGGGAAGGCAGGTATGTGGGGAAAGCTAGGGGTAGCTTGACAGATTTAGTGGTTGGAGGATGTGGAAGTTCTCTTCTGTCTACTTCTGTTTTCTCCATGAAAAATTGGCAAGGACATCAACCAGAAGTGAGGATTTGGAGGATGGTGTTGGTTTGCAGAGAGAAGGTAAGTGGTACAGTCAGTTGACTAGGATTGCTGGGCCGTGTTGAGGGCCTGCTTGAGATCTGAGCTCTGTGTGAAATGATCTTCGAAGCAAACTTTTGATCATGTTTTTCTCCTCTTTCTACAATCCACCCCCTCCCCAGGAACCAAGGGCTACGTCTCACTACGATTATTTGGGATATCAGTTCATTAGTTATTATGTAATTAATTTATTTATTATGCATTAATGTACATCACCACTTATTCATTCATTCAACCACATTCATTGAGTGCCATGCCTGGCACATTCGAGGTACTAGGGTTACAGCAGTGAACAAAACAAATTTCTGATCTCAGGAAGCTTATCTTCCACATTCTAAAAACTATGAGTTCTCATCTTTGGTAAAATAAATCCTCAGTGAAAACCAATCAGGAAGTGGAAGTTTCAATATTTAAGTGCTCAGAACTGGAGTTGCCTAAATCCTTAGAAAGAAGAATACCAAGGCCCCGTGACAGACTGGGTCTAGCAAAGGAGGTCAGGACTTGCAGCCTGGCTGTTTCTTTCTTTCTCACTAGTCCTGGGCTGGCTCTATGGAATTCAGCCAAGTGCAGCAGACGAAAGAGTAATCTGCCGGAATTTTTGTCTCTAGTGTCAGAGCAAAGATTCATCATTAGCTCCAGAAGGGCATGAA